AAGACAACCAGGCACAGGGACAGCTTCTTCCCCCAGGCTGTCGCTCTGATGAACACTTGACCAATGACAGTATGATTGGACAATAACCCCAGTGAACATTCCTTTGTTGTTTGCATTGTTTACTGTCTATTTATACTGCCTTTTCTGCATTGTTTGTACTGTTTGTTGATGTTAATACTGCTATTTTGTTATATTACACAGCCTTATGCTGGTTTACTGTTAGCACATTGAGAGCCGATGTACCAGAGTCAAATTCCTCATGTGTCCATCACACCTGGCCAATAAAGCTGATTCCGAAAGCAAAGGTCTTTTTGATCCTATGGTGCATTCATGGAGTATTGCAGACTATTTTAAAGAGGCTAACTTGTTCTGCTGAAGAAACAATGGATTTAAATGGACATTGCAGCTTCTACATGGAAGTGAGATCTGACAATGCTGTTTGTTTTGTATTGATGCTGTTCCACCTCATTGCTGGGGTAAAAAAACAAATCCTATGATCCATCAAATGATTGTTTTGAGCCCTGCTCTAACCGTTTAGCACGCTGCCTGGGAGCTAAGGCATTATTCTCTAGAATATAAGAGAAGCAAATTCATCAATTTCTGTTGCCAGCAGCAGAATGTACAGGTTACACAAAAGAAACTCTTCACGTCCAACAAACAAAGCAAGCGAGAGAGACAGCACGGTACTAGTGGTTATGTAATGAGATGAAAGCCATTGTCAAAGACACACCAAAACTGACTGGTGGTTTCTAAAAGCAGAACATCACGCTGCTGCCAGATTTACTCAGAACCTTACATGGTGTTAAGGAATTCACTGTCGACCAAGCTGCCTATGGACACCACAACACCAACTCTCTTTCCATGGTTCTGCTCACGGCACCAATGTTGGCACACGACGCACGGACATCCCAGTATCATAACGGGTGGATAATCAAGTTTAATTCAAGGCCATCATGTCAAATGACACCCTACTGCCTTACTAATGCAGTACCTGGAGAGCAGCACCACAGAGTTTTAAGGACGCCTTGGGAGCTCACTCATGGCAATGAAATCATTAACCTATTTTAAAAAAAGCTGCGGTCATAGTAGTGAATGTCACCTAATACCAGAAACACAAACCAGACCCTGTCATGTTTTTGTAGGACACGTTTCAAGTTAACTCACTAACCCTTGTCCTTTTGTCTCCGTCGTTTATGCATGAATGTACCCACATGTTTGTACAGTCATCTTTGTAATGACTTTCAAACATGTAATGCATCTCATAGCCCCTTACCCTAAATTTAGCCTAATCCCAATCCTGACCATAACCTACACCAGGTTTTGACCCTCGAACAACACTCTGAAGGGGTGTAGGAGTAAGAAAAAATTTCACTTCCACCTCATGTCAGAGTTTTAAATCCATCCAGATAATGTCCACACAGGTATCAAACTGCACTGAACAGCGCACGCTACAGGAAGAATCTCTGCAAAACAAGGTAACTGTGTGGGATGCACCTCATTGTGCTTTACATGTTTACACTACAATTTAAATACAGTATTTTTGTGGGGCTCCTGAGAGAGTCCAAGCATTTGTTTGTCTGACTGGGGCACAATTTGTAGAGCTTACCCCAGAATTACACATTTGGCGTTTTTATTAATCCCACAGTGGAACAGCTCTGCTTGAACCATATTAATGAACAGGGGCCGGTTCAGCCACTGAAAGACAGTTATAGTTCATGTTTCTTTTTTTCATCCTGAAGTTACAAACATGTATAATGAGAGTGCATCTCATAAACCATATGTTGGGCATCAGAGAGAGCGGCACATCTGTGAGCCATTGGGTCGATGTGTGTAAGTAAAAACATCTCCAAACTGGTTTCATTTTTCACTCAAACTGAAATAATTATCAAATCCTGACTTGATTAGAACAAATGAGCTTCTTGATATCTACCAAAGGATAAGTGCAATGAGTGTGTGCACAAGCCAGAGGAGACACCAAAGGTCACCTCGATCACCTGGAATACTTCAAATCATTACTGCACACCTGCTGTAACTTCTTCCCAGACTGACTATTTTCAGAGATGGTGGTGAAAGGAGGTTGGATAATAAATCATATGGACCAAGAAACCGACTCACCTTGGGCTGCACCTCTACTTCTACCACTTGGTTCTTGTTCATGCAATCTTTGACGAAGGTCTCGACTTTGCTGTTGAACTTCATGAAGATCACGTAGGCGCCGTAGGCTGAGAGCAGCAAGATACTTTCCCACATGGAGATGATGTTATCCAGGAAGAAGATGATTAGCATTGTCAGATCCAGGATGTAGAAGGAGACGTCACGGAAGAGC